ATGAATGATCCTTCTGCACCTGAATCAACAAAAATCGACAGGGGAAGATGAGTATCAGACCACGACAATTCCGCCGGAAACAGAGTGCCCGAAGAGGCAGGGGAAAAAACAGCACTGCTGACCTTAGCTGAAGGTAGAGCACGAGGTGCAGACGGTGGTCTTGAAGGACAAGTAGCGAGCCGATGGTTAGGAGAAGCACAGTACAAACATCGTCCCTCTTGGCGGCGCCTTTCCTTTTCTTGAAGGGAAAGAGGAGCATGTGGCAGAGCTGGCAAAGCAGGAAGCGATGCCTCGGGAGGGCCATGTCTGCTTCCAGTGGGTCTGTCTGCTTTCCAGATTCTGATGCAGGTGTCCAATTCCAGGACCTGGGAGATCGCTGCTTCCAGGGAATGAGAGTGGATTGGCATGAATACCAAGTGATCCTTCAACTCCTCTGACAAACCCTTACAGAAAAGGCAAACCAGCGCCTCTGGGTTCCAGGCAGACTCTGTGGCAGGAGACTGAAATTCCTCCACATAATCCTGTAGAGGTCTATCACCCTGTTGAATAGCCGAGAGCCAAAGGTGAACCAGGTCCAGACTGTTCTGCGAAAAACGTGCCTGAAGATGATCCGCAAAGCCGTTGAAATCCATGGGTTGTGAATCAGCTCTGGTTCGTGGTCGGAACAAGAGCAGCAGGGTCGAAACCAAAAATAATCACGAAGGCAAAACGGAGAGGTCAGAAAATCCGGTAAGGCAAAAGGGAAAGTAACGCTAGGTAGAGCAACAGGTAGTGGACTCAGTACCGAGCAGTGATATGCGGATAAATGAGGCTTAAATAATGCAGCCTGCCGCACGGTAAGGCGTCTGAAGAGAATTAACACGTGGGGCGGTGTTTGTAATTAATACCCAGCTGCTGGGACTGATTAGACCTCTTAGGAGCTGGTCTGGGCCGGTTAGTGATCGTGACAGAGAAAGACTGTAAAAAAGAGGTCCATAAGCTGTTTCAGTCCGTAGAAGTGGGTGATCCAAGAGAATCAGTGGTGTACTTACAGCTTAACATTGTTGCAACAGGCGAAGAGACTGGCCTAGCACAATTCCGTTAGGGAAACAAGAATAGATTGTGGCATTCTCACAGCAGCCTGTGACTGCTGCTTTGCAGGTGTTGAACTAATGCCAGTGCTGTGAGAGTAGCTGGAGTGTTACATTGGAGAGCCTGGTGAAAACTCAGTCCCCTTCTAAATGTCTGGGCTCTAGACATGTGGCTAGTTTGCCTACAGTATGCTTTAACCCTGCCCATATACAGTAGCACAATTGTTAACTAAAAATAATGATTCCATGTTGAGCACATCAGGTTAAGAGGTACCATCTGAGTGATCTGTTTCATACAACTCCAGCATTGGATTCAAACCAGCATGACTGGTTTTCTGCAGGAAGATATACATTTTATTTTTGACTCAAATCTCTGGAATGTTCAGTAACTATTCACAAGGAAGGCCTGACAAAATACATGGAATATTGACTTACCACTGTAGCAGCAATGCTTGTTAATAAGACAGAATTAACTGTTCCCAAATGAGGCCTCATCTCTCTGTTCATCTCTGTGGTGCAGCCACAGAGAAACTATTCATGCAGGATGATTTAAAGATGTTTTCTTTTGATAAGGGACAGCTCCCAAATGGGGATGCACTTAGCTCAGCCTGGCTATCGTGATCAATGGTCATCCATTGGCACCTATCTGTCTAGGGAGTGCCAGATGGACATCTGGACTGCATTCCTTAGTGGAGTAAGTGACTCATATCTCACCTTGATCAACCAATCAGGGACTGGTAGGGCCGAGTAGCCCATGTGGGACTCTGATGCCCATGGAACTTTCAGCCAATCAATGAGCTGAAGTTCCTCCAGGTAAAAACTAGAGCAGAGGTTGCCAGAGAGTAACCGGAGGATGTAACCGGAGGATCCACCCGAGGTTAGCATCAGCAGCAGGCCTCGTGAACAGGTCAGAACTGTGGACAGCTGAATCACTATTCAGAACTAGCTCTTCATCAGGAACGAACCGCTCTTCCTGACTTGCTGGGACCCACAGTCATCTTTTATCCTGTGCGCAAACTTTGCTAGTTAAAGCCAACACTAACTAGCCGGTCAGTGAGCATCAGCAGCGCACCATCGCAAGCCGCACAGCAAAGCCTGGCACGGAGCCAGAGAGCCCGCAGGAGATCTGAATCCCCAGAGATTGGATGAGTATTCAACTTCACTGCATTACTGCTCGAGAATTCAATTGTTATCCCAACCAGTTGATATCAATTTAATTTAAGAGTTATGTACTTGTTTTGAGTATCCAATGTAGAAGTTATAACCAAGTGCATTTACGAAACGGTCTAAATGAATGATATACTGAACGTACAGTATGTCCTCTTGATATACAGTATGTAACTCTTTGTAACTGACTGAATATATACCTTTTATATTCTGATATAACCCTCTCGATAAGATCTATTAGGTTTATATGCATATTCTATGTATTAATAAATGTATCCTCGTGTATTAGTGTGTATGCGTTGTTTGAGTTATATCGCATGGTTGGATTCTAAGGCCATCAAAATAATTAATAATTGTCCCAGTAAATGCCCAACCCCTACAGAACTGGTGCCTTCAGAGAGCACACTACACCACCAACACCCTATTCTTTGAAGAAAACGAGCATGTCATTTCACCTCTGGTATGAGCACCTACACATTCTTGAACTCATCAATATTCATACTTAGTATCTCAAAGATGTTCACATCCTTTGCATATTACTAGGATTCAACACTGCTGGACCAATCACCAATTCATCAACTTGGCCTTGTTCATCAAACTGAGTTCCAAATGAAGGTTGCAGCCAAGGCATAGCTAAGTATCAATGTCTCAGGGACCCAATCAAATGAGATCTCTTCAAACAATAACGGTGAGAGAGTGCCAACAGTACTTGGGGTGCCCTCATGTCCACCATCATTAGTGCCTGTAATTTGGATTCTATTCCAGGGAACATCAGAAGTGATGTGGTGAAAAAGACAGAGAGACCCAGAATTTGTTAATAAGCAAGAATTTGATCCACAATTTGTTCATGAGCTGGCACTAAGAAAAATAAAGCAAATCACCAAAAAGAAAGTAATTCAAAGGAGGATCCAATGCATGAATTGCAGATATTGTTGAGACAAATTAAAGGAAATCCAGAATCTTACAAACAACCACTGTAATACACAGCTTTTGTGGTGCCTACAAAACCATCAAAGGTCTGACCATTGAGGAGCAGGCCTTGTAAGCAAGGACATTTGATTAAAGAGAAAAAATCTATCAATCCTTTTTGGAAGGTGCATTTCAAATACATACTCAGTTGAAACTTCTCTTGCTTTCAAAGAGCAAGATATAACAGAGAATACAATACATGTAAATCATTGAAAACTCTTTTATTTTAAACATTTTGTTTTATACAAATGTTAGAGTATGGGTAGCACAGTATTGTTTATTAAGGAATAAAAAAACTGTAACAAAACTGTAACAAAACACTTGTGCATGATAAAAACTGTCAACAACATGGATAACTCAGAATACCATTTAGTTTGCTGATTGATGAGCATTAACACACATAAAATATACTGCAGATGAACAAAACAATAAACAATATCCAATAAGCTTAAATAATTAGACCCCCACAATATTCTAATATTTTGTAAAGAAGAAGATGGAGACAGATTTATCTGTCTTTAGATCTACAGGATTCAGTTTGAAAAGCAGACTAACTATAAACTAATCTGTAGTGTTTGTTTTGTATTTACTGTAACTAGTGCTCTGCACTCTTGTAGAAAAACAAAATGCCTGCTCTCCTTCAGAAAAAAGCAGTTTTTAATTCTGACACTGTAAACAAAACATGCAAAACATCTTTTCATGGTCATTGGACCTTGTTACATGATCCTTATAGCCATCATAATTTTATTATACAATTTCCTAATTTTTGTAATGCGAGAATAAAATTACAATAGATGATAACTGCAAAATCTAATTTGAAAACTAATTTGATTATAACAGTTTCCATAGGGATTATTGTATGGTTCATCCAGAAAAATACTTGAATTGCACTGAGTGATCCCCACCTAGAAGTCACAGGGTCAGATGAAGTAATGCCTCTTGCCAGCTGTTACAAAGTATTCAGTGACAGTGCAGGCCTGGGCATTGGTGTAACTAGATAAGCTGCAGTCAGTTAGGGAGATCTTTGTTGATCACAGGAAGAGTATGCCTGGTACACACAATATTGAGTAGTATCAGTAAAAGCTGTTTCTTTTTTAGTCACATTTCAGTTTCATTGCTTTTACTTCAGCATTGTGGTGATCACCCTGGCAGCACATTTCAACAGTTAAGCTATCTCACCATGAAAGTGAATTTACAAGATGACTATGAATTAAGAGTTTACTGTACCTTTGGTTGCCTAAGATATCATGCATCTCCTAATATCAGTGTGTTTAATTATGAACCTGTCAAAATAATAATAATAATAATAATAATAATAATAATAATAATTGCTTACACTTATATAGCACTTTTCTGGACATTCCACTCAAAGCTCTTTACAGGTAATGGGGGCTCCCCTCCACCACCACCACCAATGTGCAGCATCCACCTGGATGATGCGACGGCAGCCATAGTGTGCCAGAACGCTCACCACACATCAGTTATCAGTGGGGAAGAGAGCAGAGTAATGAAGCCAATTCATAGATGGGGATTATTAGGAGGCCTTGATTGGTAAGGGCCAATGGGAAATTTGGCCAGGACGCCGAGGTTACACCCCTAATCTTTTCGTGAAACGCCCTGGGATTTTTAATGACCACAGAGAGTCACGACCTCGGTTTTACGTCTCATCCAAAGGACGGCACCTGTTTACAGTATAGTGTCTCCGTCCCACATGGACTGCAGGGTGAGAGCCCCCTGCTGGCCCCACTAACACTTCTTCCAGCAGCAACCTGAGTTTTTCGCAGCAGGTCTCTCATCCAGGTACTGCCCAGGCTCACACCTGCTTGGCTTCAGTGGGCTGCCAGTTGTGAGTTGCAGGGTGATATGGCTATATGGCAAGTAAGTCATGATACTTGCTGTACACCCAGATAAACCAGAAACTAGACACTTTAAGTCAAGCAATTTTGACTATGGTACTGTAGGTGTATTCCTGATATGTGTTCGTGAAACCACTAATGAATTTGTTAAGGCTAGAAACAAACCTCGCTACTAAATGCTTCCAGAAAGTTGTTGACTGTATTTTAAAAAAGTAAGACATTTTACATATTACAATGTATTGTTTTTATCATTGTTATTATTAAGATTATTATTTAATCGTTGATCTTGATAAGGAAACAGGTAAATTCATTCATAATTGGGATGATTTTCTGAAACCTTAAAGCACTCCTTCATTCCCAGCTAACATAAAGACTATGCATGTGCTCTGTGTCAGCAGAAATATACGTGTACACATTACATAATACTATTGCCAAATGAAAATCTTAAGCAAAATACTGTATTCACTCTATGCAAGATTCTCTGTGCAAGAATTACTCAGTATGAAAACTCAGAATATGATTGTGGGATTTAAAGTTTTCTTTTCAGACAGACTTAGAATGTGGAAATCAAATTTTCGGTTTCTTGCTCATGACTTTCTTGTGAGGTTTCAGGACATCTTGGGTGGTGTCCTGATTTGGGTCTGTGTTCTTATCAATGGCCTGCTCATTGTCATGCAGCTGTTTAAGAATAAGGCTCTGCTGTATGGTGTCCTTCTTGGCCTGCCTCAGAAGTCTTTTCATGTTCTTCACCTTCTCCCTGAGGTGGTTGTTGGCCTTCTCAAGTGATCGAACCTTCTGCGACAGTGTCTTCACCCGCTCCTCCTCCTCAAAAAGCGCCTTCTGCACCGTGGAGCAAAGCAGCTGCATGAGAGTGGAGAGGGATCAAAGCCACACACTGGTAAGCGTGCACCATGACACACTGTAGACTGATTAGAACAGAAGCAGACCTGACGTTTTGAAAAGAAACGTCAAAAATCTGCTAATTCAATGCAATTTTTTCTGCAAAGTAAATTGTGTCATTACATTGATTTAAGGTACACAAATATTCAGAAGCAAACATTCCAAAAAAATTCATGATTCCAATATTGAATAAATGTAAAATTAGAGTAATGCAGCCCTTGTGTTTGGTTTAAATTAATTTGTTTTTTGCGGTTATATATAACCATCCCAAACTTCCTGTATCATTTTCCTACCCTGCTGTTTTTGATAAGCAGCAAAACCATGTGCCTTCCAAGGGCTTAAAATAATTCAAAGGGCTTAAAAGAAGTTCTACAGCCTTTCCTACAGTAGGCACTGTAGGCACTTTGATGTTCTCAGCATATGTCTAGCTTAATGTTTGAGTAGAACTAGCAAGAAATGCAATATTGTGCACTTACATTGTATGTTCATGATGGTACTCATAGTTTTAAGCATTTTACACAAATACTCAGTGTCATTATGAAAGTATTAGTAGTTAAAATACATTGTGCTATAATAGTAGTCTGACTACATAAAAATAGTTCTTGAGTAGTACAACTGCACAATTTAATCACTCAAAGTTAATTACATATCTTACTGTAAGTCCAAAAGTTTAACATAAGGAGTATTGTATAAAGCCAGAAGGCAAGTGACATTTGTAACTACTCAGTACATGTCTTTCTGAATGTTTACTGTGTTACACCAGAGGATAGCTAGAGCACAGCAGACTGGTAAATCATGTTTCAAAATGTGAGGCTTTGGCAATGCAAGTGTGTTTTTAAGCACAATAAAATTATTGTGAACTAGAAAAATAGCACTTAAATGCAGTGTGGAAATCCTCCATAAGGACAGCTCATAAGGCCTTTAACTTTTGGAGAACACTAAAGTATAGTTTCTTTCTACTTGTTATATTATATTTGCATTCTCTGCTAGCTCTGTTGTTTCAATGTTTTAATCATTACAGTCAGTTTTATTTCTGGTCCAGTGCTTTGTTTGAACATTTTTGTGGGCAATTAGTTGTGTGGAACTCTTTCTCGTTTCCATCATAGCTCCTCTTTCATCACTTCACAGCACTTTCAGTTACTAACTACCTCTCGGGCCAAGTGTTACACAGGCACATGTCCAACATGTGTAGAACTCTGGACCAAAAGAAGTTAGTCTATTCTGTTTACAAATGTGATTTCAATGGACTGAGGGAATCAAGGATTAACCATCACATTATAAAGCACATCTTCAGATCCACATTAGCACAGGTTTGACATGAAGAAAGTTATCTTGCGTGCTATAACTAAACTATACTGTATGGCCACACCTAAAAGCAGCTTTAAAGGCAGTGTTTCAGTATCACTTTACTCTACTTAATTTTAATTTTAAAGATCAGTTCTGTTATTTAAATAAAAAAAAGTTTTTTAATTTAAATTCTTTTACAAACTATATGGTATGACATCAGATCAAGTAGGATTAAACCATTAATTTATCTCTTTATTAGGTACAAAAGTCAATGCATAGACATAGCTATTAACAATCAGATTAATGAGACTTTTCAAAGAGATCCAGTATATGTTGAGCTAACACACTGCAAATAGGGTGTGATGGAATACCGATATAGAAAAGAGCTTTCTATTTTTCAATGAAATCTCATTCTGATATCTCATTTCTTCCCATGACAAAAGACTTTCAATGTCTGGACCAATGTGCTCAGCTGCAAAACTCATAAGACAAGACAATGAGAGAACTTCACCTCAGATTGGAAGGTAATGTTTACAAATTCTCTCTCACCCTAACGTTTTAGGGTACAGTAATCTCATCAGACAGTAAAGAAAGTTTCCAAAGATCTCCTACTACTCCCTGTTCTGCTATTGACTTTGAAACAGCAAGTTAAATCATCTCAAATAAGCTTGCTAAATTACTTTCTTAAACATAGGTGTACAGATATCTTTCCCACACCAAAGTATTGTTTTAGCACATAACATTCCTACTACTCATCTTATGATATGATGGGCGGAGCGGTGGCTCTGTGGCTAAGGATCTGCGCCTGTGACTGGAAGGTTGCCGGTTCAAATCCCATGGCTGGCAGAGGAATCCTACTCCGTTGGGCCCCTGAGCAAGGCCCTTAACCCCAACTGCTCCAGGGGCGCCGTACAATGGCAGACCCTGCGCTCTGACCCTAAGCTTCTCTCCCTGTCTCTGTCTCTGTGTCTGTGTCTCCATGGAGAAAAGCTGGGGTATGTGAAAAGATGCATTCCTAATGCAAGAAATTGTATAGGGCTAATAAAGAAACATTATTATTATAAAAGGCAAAGCCTGAGGAGTAATACCCTGTCCATTTCAAGAATGACAGAAATGCTGTCCAAAAGTTTGTCATGGCTTTGAATTCATAATTGTGCTCAATGTAAAAAGGAACAGAACCCATTCATGCAACATAACAAGACTGATGATGGGCCTGAGATAAGTATAGACATTCACTTATTTGTAATAAGATACACTTGATAGTAGTGATCTGGGACTTGTTAGTGGTCTTTTTTAGGGCCTGTTTGGTTGTAGTCAATATCAGTGATCTGAACCTGGTAGAAAGGTGATGCAGTGGTTAGCATTGCTGCTGCACAGTGCTTGGCCCCAGTGATCAATTCTGGACCTGGAGTATTTTCTGCGTGGCGATCGTGTTTACATCGGTTTTCTCAGGATGCTCCAGTTTCCTCCCTCAGGCCAGGGACATACTAGCATGTTAATTGTCTTCTGGGAAAATTGATCCTCATGTGAGTGTGTGTGTGTGTGCCTGTGATGGACTGGCATCCCATTCAGGGTGTATCCCACCTTGTGGTCCTTGCTTACTGAGATAAACAAAACTGGGCTGTGGCTCCCTGTAACCCTGACAAGGGTTGAGTGGTTAGAAAATGGATGGATGATCTATCACTTTGTCTCACCTGAGCAGTTTCAGTCTAAGATTCTTACCCGACTGTCCTCCTGGACTTCCCAGTAAGGGGTGTAGGTGTGGATAAATGTTCCACTGGAGCAGTTGGCAAATTGGAAGAGGCTTGCAAACATACGATGGTTTTCTGGTGTGTCTGGGAATATGGGATCCTGGAAGTTAACTCCGTGTGGGATTATATTATAATTCTCATCCATCCTGAGGGAAAGAAAAATTTTATGTTAATTGTGACATCTAAGTGCTATCTGAGAAGTACTGTGTTTCATAATCATAACAACAAATACAATTACCTCACAACATATTGCAGGTTTTACAGCGAGACTTCAATTAGAATTAGCACTTGCATTTCTAGGTGGGGGCTTACAAAGAACTATGTTCCCTGTACACAGGTTTACTTTTCATGCTGATATAGCCTGATTTAATTAAAATTCAGTTAAAAATTCCTACATTCGTTGGATTCAGGCATATAGCTTCTTGTCTTAGATTCTTTATAAAAATATCTCCATCAATTCAATGTGTTTTTAGTCAGTTCAGTTGTTCTCATATCAAATGAGAGAAACAGGATTTTCTCTGAAGCTTGAATAGTTACTTTAGTATCACTAAAGTATAAAGTATAAAGGAAAAGGCCTTTATAAAATACTACATGCATTATATTATTGCATGGTTTAAGACTCATTCTAATTTAAAAACCATTTAGGGAACACTCAGTTTGGCTCCTGACTCTTTTCAGTAGAAAAAAATTTAATTTCCTTTATTATTCATCAAATAAACTTACTTATAATATATCAAAGTCTATCTACAGTAGGTCACCTATGAGAGATCCTGTTAACCATGATTTGTCACACATTTAGCTCTTTCAAAAGATGCACAGCACCTTGAAATGGGCAAGGGATGAGGGAGTAGGACAATATGAATGAAAAACCTGTACGGGTACAGTTAATTGATTTTTAAGAACACACAAATTTACTAGTTAAAATAATATACTGTAGCTTTGAAGGTACATTTAGTTTAGTATTTTAAATAAATTGCAAAGGTAACTTTAATTAATAATAATTATAATTGCTTACACTTATATAGCGCTTTTCTGGACACTCCACTCAAGCGCTTTACAGGTATTGAGGACTCCCCTCTACCACCACCAATGTGCAGCACTGGATGATGCGACTGCAGCCATAGTGCACCAGAACACTCACCACACATCAGCTATTAGTGGGGAGGAGAGCAGAGTAATGAAGCCAATTCATAGATGGGGATTATTAAGAGGCCATGATTGGTAAGGGCCAATGGGAAATTTGGCCAGGACGCCAGGGTTACACCCTTACTCTTTTCAAGAAACACCCTGGGGTTTTTAATGACCACAGAGAGTCAGGACTTCAGTTTTACGTCTCATCCGAAGGACAGTGTCTGTTTATAGTACAGTGTCCCCCTCACTATACTGGGGCATTAGGACCCTCATGGACCGCAGGGTGAGCACTCCCTGCTGGCCCCACTAACACCTCTTCCAGCAGCAACTTTAGTTTTTCCCAGGAGGTCTCTCATCCAGGTTCTGACCAGGCTCACACCTATGGTTCAGTGGGTGCCAGTTGTGAGTTGCAGAGTGATATGGCTGCAGGCTATTTTGAGGCTACAATTGCTCAAGCTAATGTGAGAAAGCATGAGAAAGTTATTTTGTGAATAATCTTTAGATGTCAACATGATAGCTGCAAACTGAGATGAATTATGAATACCAGCTAAAACATTAGTTCTGCTGCATCTATGAAATACAGAAACAAATCATTTTCCTTCTTTCAGTGAATTAACACCAAAAATCTTGTATGGTAAAATAACAATCTGTAAGTCAGTGTGAGTGTACAGTAGGTCACAGCATGGCAATGTGTATCATGTACTTGTGTTTACATTACATTTTTAATGAAACATGCTTGTACAGTAGATGTTCAGTTAAGGCAAACTATATATTTGTCTTCTGCAGTGATGTATGGAAAATGATGTCACCTATTCACTGTTTGTATTTTTAATTTTGTGTTTGTAGTTCATTCATCTTGTGGCCTCTTGATAGAGAACAGGACGGAGCTGCTAAGTGCTTTAAAGTTCAGGTTCAAAAAAGACTTAACCAACTAAACGTTAAGTATGTTGTTTATGTTCAGTCAGAATGAGATTTTCTTTTCCACCTAAAATGTGTGAATCTTGTAAGCTATTCTTCAACAACGCTTGGAGCTAAAAATTTCCATCAAGAAGTTAAATATTCATGAATGAAAATCTCCCAAAATTAGAATCAGAAAACAATTGTGTTTCAGTGTTTCCAGTATGTTTTAGGAATGAATCACTGGTACCACAGCACATTAAAAGCACGTTTTAGATAAGAAAAAATAAATAGACTAGGCTAGTACTTGTGTACTAGCAATGCAAATCAACTAATAACAAATGCACTGATTCAAAATACGAAATAGTTATTACCCAGAGGAAAAAACAACTCTCTTTGGACATTGTTCTGAAGCATACCAACTCATATATAGAAAATAAACATAAAAAAATACATTCTTTTAAAATGATGAAAAATCTGTTACAACTGCAGGATTTCACTCATAGCCAGGGGCGATAGGGGCCTGACATCCTTCTTTTGCCACCTCTCTGAAATGTAGGATATCCAGAAAAGAAATGATTTACCCTCAGACGAGTTGCATGAAGAAATGCAGTTACCAAGGCATGATGGTGGCAAGAAAGTAGAACATTGAAAATAGAACAAGATGTGGCCACATTGGAACAAAAGAGAGAAAGGCAGTTCATGTCATCTGTGTCTCATTAGGGCGGTTGCTCTTTCATTTACTCTGAGTCTTGGCAGGCAGCCCAGCCAAGCTGAGCCTCTCTGTCCCCTGCTTTACAACAGAGTAACACAAAGGTGGGGGTGTGATTGCATTAGGTTCATCATATAAACGCTCCATAGCTAAGACCATCCCACACTGAGGCTTAAATTAACATAACTTATCAATACTGTCTCATCATTGTCAACCACTTAGAGAAAAAAAAATATGTGCCAGGACGATGCTCTCTAATTTATTTTGTTTGTTTTGCTTTCTTCAGTTTTCTCTTGAAAAGCTTAGAATGATAACTGTGGGATCAATATTGTGTAAAGATGTATTTAGACATTTGCAATGCTGATTTTGGCAAAACAAAACACATAAAGCACAGAACATTTCTTGTCTATCATTGAAATTGATATTGGATTCAGTTTAAGGACAAATCCTGGCTTCCAGTTCAGTCCTGATACAGTAGGTTTTTCCACTTGTTAGAGTTGTATGTTATAGAAATGTTAATACTCCCGTAAACATACCATTTAAGAAGAGTTTCACAGTTCCACAGATGCATTTACCGTGTATGTTTTATTTACAAACATACATGGAGCAAAACCAAGGTGAAAGTGTTAGGTTCTGAAATTATGAAATTCCCTAAATGTATTTTTTATAAGTAACTCTGATCTGATGGCAAGTGACTTTTTCAACATCTGTTCAATAGGACAATTTCCTTTGGAGTCTAAACTGAACCTTCCATAATCTACTGAAGATACAGCGTTGTTTTTGGATGCAGTTGCTGAACTGGGACTCAGAAGAAAAATCACTAATCTTTATAGTGCTGCCATAAACGATTTAGTAGGGCAGTGTAAACAGGTTCCCAAAAAACATCTGAAGTGCACCCAAGAGGTCTATTAAACAAAAATAGAAATGTCTTCTAATAAAACCCACATGACAAGATCTTTATTTTTGCAAAGTTTTCTAAGACAAAAAAGTTTTTAGCTTCCTGTTCTGTGATAGAAATCTACAGAAATAGATATATAAAAGATTTCCACACTCTTAGTTTCCAGATTAAGGTTTGTAGAATCTACATGCAAATATTTCTTTGAATGTTTTTAGAAATTCCTTTAAATGAAATGTATAGCTTAATAATACTAGAAACATGTTCCACAAAGTGTGTCTGCAACTCATTCCCTCGAGTCACTACCTCCTGAAAAGTCTTTTCTTTCCAGCTTGTCACTTGGAATTGTCTCTAGAGCTGAACAGCAGGATGTTCTCTGTGCATTTACATTTCCTGTGTTCAAGGAGGTAAAGGTTAAAAGTGACTTTTTACAAAGGCCCACTGGCACCTCAAGAGGGCTACAATGTTGATGCAAACATTATTTATATAAGGACATGTTGCTTTGCTTAACATCAGGCACTGATTTTTTCAAGCCCATTTTGTGTAATCACAAAATGTTAAAAAAAAGGAATTGACTATCCACTAAACAGGAAACATGTGCCAGGCTGGGACTGTTCAAGCTGTGCTGAATCAGGGAAACAGCAAGAACTAAATTATGTGTAGGCACCATGGCTTAAAATGAGAGGGCGAAAGGGCTTTAGTATTATCCAGCAAAAGAGAATTTCCAAAGTCAGAAGGTCAAAAGTCTATCTCCAAAATCTGCAAAGGTCTAAGTCTACACATAGACATGTATCTCTGTGGATACAGTATGTTTTCTTTATTTAAAACCTATGTACAAATACAGAACACTGATGTTTCACCTAAGGCCAACCAGATGAAAACTCAGCAATGCATTTGGACTCTCCTAAAATAAATCAATGGTGTAATTAGAGCATGTGTTATCCTTTACCTAGAGTTAACTGTACAACAAGATCCAAAGTTTAAAGAGTGGCTTAAGGTAGTTCAGAGGAAGACTAGTCATATAATTAGAAACATAAAATATGTTTGAAAGCCATGTGTATATTGACCAGTTCATATCTGACCAGTGGTTGATAAAGTACAGTATGTGGCAGTAGTAGGAAATGCCCTGAAATAAAACTAAAGTCTCCATTTTCATCTAAAATAGATTTTTCCATGTTGATACTACAGGGTTCTGTCCTTTCAGCTTTCATATTTATAGTTTGTGGTGTATTACTATGTATTTTGGCAACAATTGTTTGAAAAGGTCAGACAAGTAGCCTGACTGTAACATTGTTCTGCAATTGCCAACCTGCAGGACTTTTCCAAGAAATGAGATCCATGTGGGACTTGATGGAACTTTTTTCACACAATTAATAGTAAATTTGTAAAATTGCTTGATATTTGTATCTTACAGATGGATTGTTTTGATTTGCTTGATTAACTTGCTAACAGTCAGACAGAACATATTTGTGCTTCTTCATTCATCATCTATAGTGTAGTTGTTCTGATGGTGTAGAATGATTCTGGTCTGTTAAATCACAATTCCTAGGATCATTTGTAGCTTAAATGTTTGTAGTCTTCGCTTTGTTGACAAACTAAAACTATTATATCAAAAAGACAGAGTTTAATGCTCCAAAGGCCATCTGCAGGAACCGCCTGCCCTTAATAGCATCCTGACTTTCTATGAAAGCACAAAACTGCAAGTAAAAAACATCACAACATCAAAATTGTCCCAATGCTTTAAAAAATACACTTCCATTGATGCCCCTGCATTCAGAATGACAGGAGAGACACTAAAGAGTTATAAATCAAGTGAGCTAAATCTGCTTAATCTGTAAATAGTGCCTGTTGCTTCAAGACAGAGGTAGTTATCAAGTAAAGTACTTTCATTCCCATGTGTAGGGTGCCCTTGAGCTGTTGGCTGCTGTGGCACTTTATAATTACAGCAGCTGGAATGTAGCGGATGTTTTGCTGTTATTTCTCTGCTAACTTTTACAATGGAAGATGAGTAGAAACCTGTCCCTCATCTTTTGAAGAAGCCACTGTTCTTTTGTAACACATACTGTAGCACATGCAATGTCTTAATTATCAGGTATTCTGTGACTTTCAAGTCATACAGCTAAGTGCTTGGTACACTGGAGATTGTACTTGGCTTTAGGGAAGGGCATCGTTTACACTTAGCTATGAATGGTATTTAAATAGAATAAATCTCTAGTGAGATCAGAATTTATTTAAAATGATCTGGCTCAGTTTGGACATGCAAATATAGGCACAGCCTTGAAGAACTGGGTAAAAGACTTAATACTTTAATGATAGTTAATAATTTAGATTACAGGCTACAGACTCCAAAAACCAAATAAATGAGGGGGGAAAAGACTCAGAGTCCCTAAAAATACCACTTTCCCTTTTCTTTTCCCAAAAGAACTGTTTAGTCAACCCTTTTCTATAATTTTAATATGTTTAAAAGGGTGGATACACTTTATGTTTCCAAAAGCTTTGATTGCCCGGTAATAAAATATTCCATTGTATGTGCAAATTCTAAATATCCCCTCTAGCACAGAAACACATTTTTCATATTTTAAATCACTCTAAGGTTATGTCTCCTTCCTGTATTATCTACATACTGCATGTCCTGGAGCCATGAAACAGTAACACACAGAGCTTTGGAAGGTGTGTAGTCTGCTGCAACAAATTTAGACTGAGAAGAGGGAATGGGAACCTCTGTGACTGCAACAATGAGCCCTCTTACGTTATGAAATCACCAGTCTTTTAACAATGCTGGCTATCATGGATCCCCTCCTTCACATACAGCTGGTTTGGGTTACACATGTTCCTGGTTTGTCCCTGTGCCAGCTGGGTTTTTGACTTTCAGTAAACATAGATAATAAGTATTATATTCCCCAGATATGACAATGTGTACTGTTCTTCTCAGTAACTAGCTGGAGTAAAACCATACTTTATTTTTCCCAGATCTGTGTTTATGAGTCAGAAAAGGAAAAAGTTAACAGGAGACACAAAGTCCAAAACTAAATCCAAAAACTTAAATCCCAAATTAACTCATAAACAAGCATTGGTGACTTCTCAGTGGATCTTTATTATCAAACACATTTGAGGATTAGAATTAGAACAAATGTTTAAAAAACAAGGCACTTTTAGGAATTATCAATAGATTGTGGATATTAGGAGGCAGTAGCTTTAGGGGCAACAAAAAGGTCACATTCTATATATCTGGCTTGCTTTTGCTGTGTAGTCTGTATAGACCCAGAAGAAAACAGCCTCATAACAAAAGCATTTCTCAATGTCCATTTATTTTATTCCCTGATTGTAAAACCTTATTTTTTTATTTCTACAATTCTAAATAACTCAAGATGCAATAATCTTTCTTAAGCTTACCAAACATTTATATAGTTTTTTAGCAGTTATCTTAAAAATTATTGGAAGTTTTCTTGATTTACTTTTCATATTTTTGCATAAAACTATACTATTTAACCATGGATTCGTGAATCATTAATGAAGACGTCTGAGAAATGATGGAGCTATTATGCTGTGTACATTAACTCACTCGACATGTCCAGAGCACAGGCAGACTGTGGTTAGGTTGGTATTTACCTATAATGACTCCTGTTGTGAGAATGCAGTTAAATCACATATTTATTTCTCTTACCTCAGGAAGAAATAATACGCATTGTTCTCCATGACCGCGTACGTGTAACACGGGAAGTACCCGAGGCCGGTGACATTGAACCTCGAGCCGGCGGGCACCTCCAGCATGCTTCCCCATGCCTGGTCGCATAGCAGCTCGATCTCGGCGGAATAAAACAGATCCGTGTCGTACTGCCAGGGAAGGTAGTTGTATACGCTGTAAGAATCCTTGTGGAGGGCCAAGACTTTAGCAAAAACAATTATCTCCGCTAGCTCCGCTCGGCAGGATTCGGTCTGGGGTCTCCAGTCATGGGGCAGCTGGCATCCCCAAATAGCCCCGAGACCGGTGAGCAAAACCAATGCCAACACAGTGCCCATCGCAAGACACTAGCAGTGAAGTGCAGGTAAACGAAATCTAGACTAAAATATAGCGCTGTTGTTTAATGTGTATTTTACTACAAAATAGATCCCAAACCGCTAAACCCTTCTCCTTAACATACTGTATACTGTAAACTGACTTAAACGGAAAAGGTCCATGGAGAAAATCACTCCACACACCCTGCTGTCCCGTAATCTATAAGGTATAGGGGCTACCTGCACTGCAAGTAAACCAGATTTGGTGTGAAAAAAGTAAGAGAGCCATTCAGTAAAATGCGTATGTGTTAGAGCTCCGGATCATTTCGCTTCCCAAAATCTTCATCCCAGCTTCTTTCTGTGCGCTGGGGATCTAAGCCTTGACGCCAGGGTTAGGCGAAGCAGATACACGGAGTAAGTGGAGACACTGTGGTCCTGACTGCAGTTTAACTGGGCGCTAGATTGTTTAAATTTTCCGTCACTCTTCGAAACGAAACACTGCGGAGGATCAGTTACAGGTTTTGTTTCATCTCATGCTATGGTCTGCCTCCTTAGCAGCTTGTCCGACTTCTTATAACTGCGATACAGCTTCTGCTTTGTTAAGTGCGCCATATATTTTCTGTAAGTATATTAGTCTTAAAATATATACTATATATACTGTATTCTGTAACAGTAGCAGTATGCTGAATTTAGGAGGGATGGATCTTTTCTTCTTGTCATAAATCAGTGACGTTTTAGGCCCCACCTCTAGTAAATCTGCACTAAGTACCCTGTATCGTTTTTTTTTTTTAGCGTTTATGACTTCTCTTAAGGATGAAAATGAGTTTTAAAAAAGAACAGATAAAAGGAATTTCAGCACCTGTAACAGTAACCACATACTGTAGCTAACATAAAATGTTAAAACAGCGATAGTCACTACCTCATTCTTTCTCAAGGATGAGTCTAAACAACCTAGTGCAATAACACAGAAACATATGTTCATACTGTATTCTACATGTATATATTGTATAATGGAACAGTTATGCATAAGCCAAAATTTTCTTTTCCTTTTACAAAGAATCAGTAACTGTGTAAAGATATATGAGAAATTAAACTTGAGCAACGTTTATCCGTTTTAGACAAGTTTAATTTTATAAACTTCACATAGTACACAATGGCAACCCGAGCTAAACTGGCAAAGACAACACATTATACTGGTATTTCTGTGAACACAACAACAACAGTAATAATAATGAACTGCTTTGTGTTTCAATGACATTTCTTATTTTTAAGGTTTTTTTAAAGACCACTCCCCCCTCATTTCAGATAACCTGGAAAATATGTCTAGTTCGCGATCTGTTCTTGCGCATAATATGCACTTTGTACTGTATATCTTAAAGCAGTCATCTTTAGTTTTATTAGTGTTTCAGCTATCGTTCGTATTTTTTAATGAATCACAAACTTTTTCGTTTTTCATTTCTAGTAATATCCTGGTAAATTCATCGCTCCCTGTTATTTCAGCTTTTCGTTCTTGGCTCTTTCGCGGTGCTCTAATGCGGTCTTGCTCGCAAGAGCATTTGCCCAAGGCAAACGCCTCAGCACTTTCACAGAAAGCGGAAGCCCCAGGAGCGAAGTCCACTTTCCGATTAACTTGTCCAGTGAGTCCTCCCAGGCATATGGAGCTTCGCTTCTTGAGAATGGATTTGGGGACAAAGGAGATGGCTTCTTCGGGCACAGAAAATCTTCTCTTGGTTTTGATGTCCTCCTCCATAGGATTGAAAGTGACCTTACTTCCATCCTTTGGTGATTCCGTTTTGAAGTCGGTTGCAGCCGTTGAAGAAACAAAACATGGCACTTCGGGGGATTTCTCTTCTTTGTAATGTGTTCCGTAGTTTTTGATAGTTTTCAGATTTTTGTTAGGCTCTACATGATTTCTTTTCGAATTTATCAGACGTTTGATGACTGTGGGTGTTTCATCAAAAGCCAAAGGAGTTTTGGTTGGCGCCTGACTCACCCCAGGTGTCAGCAGAGAACGTCTTATTTCGCTGTTTTTTCCACTAACCATCTTGCTTTTAAAAGGTGAAACTGCAAGACATTACTTATTGTAATTGTGAAAAAGCAACAGCAACAGCAACAGGATAATTAAGTCTGATCAAGCAAGCTGCTCAGTACAACTCTGGCTATACTTTATATAGCGCTCAGATCTGTAAGCTTTCCAAGTCAAACAAACATTACTGTATGTTAATAAGCATAAAGTTCACGAATCATTAACCAGAACCAGTACTCCTGACAACAAAAGAAATGGAAGTTTAAAAAAAAGAAGAAAGATTTAAAAATATTTAAAGAAATAGAAAACGAAAAGTTTTTGAAGAACTGGAAAACTGATTAGGTTTCTTTAGCTGTAACTAGACATTGGTGTTGTCTACTTGATATTGCTCCATAATAGCAAATAATGTAATATTCATGCCTTAACTACTGCCTTATCAACAGTCTTGATCTAATGTACTGTAATAGAACATTATAAAATATGTACAGTGCCTTCAGAAAGTATTCATCCCCCATTAATTATTTCTCATTCTGCTGTGTTGCAAAGTCAAATTAAAACATATTTAAATTGTTTTTTTTTCCACTCCTGTAGAAGTAATTCTTTATAATGTTAAAATGAAATAAAGTATTTGGATGTCTTCAGAATTATATTAAAAATAAAAATCTGAAAATTACTTAATTGATAAGTATTCACTCCCTTTGTTTTAACAACCTAAATTGGGTGAGGCATTCAATTATCTTAAGAGGTATCATACTAAATACATTAACAAGGTACCCCTGTGTTTAATTCGAATCCACCTGTGTTCAATTGCTTGATTGCACAATAAATATCACTGACAGGTCTCACAACTAAAACAGCCTATCAGATCAGTCCTGCTGTCATGAAGACCAAGGAGCTGCCCGTGGAACTTTGCGATTAAGTTGTTAGGAGGAAAAAAGATGGAGAAGGATATAAAAAGATTGGCAAAGCTTTGAACCTTCCTAGGAGCACCGTGAAGTCCATTGTAACAAAATGGAAAACACATGGCACAACCCAGACACTACTAAGATCAGGCTGTCCTACCAAATTGAGCAACCGGACAAGAAGGGCAATTGTCAGAGAAGTGACCAAGAGGCCAGCTACAACACTGACAGAGTTGCAGAGCTCTTTGGCTGAAATGGGAGAAGCTGTCAAGAAATCAACAATCTCTTCAGCACTTCACAGATTCAACCTCTCTGGGAGAGTGGCTAGAAGGACGCCACTTCCCAGAAAGGCCAACATTGTCACGCCTGTAGTTTGTTAGAAGCCATGTGACAAACCCTGAGACCTTTTGGAAGCATTTTGTGGTCTGATGACACTAAAGTTGAGCTCTTTGGCCTGAAAGCAAAGCACTATGTTTGGTGCAAACCAAATACAGCCCAACACCCAGGTAACACCATCCCTACTGTTAAACATGGTGGTGGCAGCATCATGCTCTGGGATTGCTTTGCAGCAGGAGGAACTGGAAAGCTTGTTGCCATCAAGAATAACATGGATGGAGCCAAATACAGGCAAATCCTTGAGGAGAACCTGTTTCAGTCAGCCAGAGATCTGCATTTAGGGTGAAGATTCATTTTCCAGCAGGTCAATGACCCAAAACACATGGCAAAAACTATCAAGGAATGGCTTGGGAAAAAAAGAAGGGTAATATTCTGGAATGTCCCAGCCAGAGCCCAGACTTGAACCCAATTGAAAATCTATGGTATGACCTGAAAATTGCTGTCCACCGACAATCTCCATCAAATTTGGCAGCGTTGGAGCGAATCTGCATTGAAGAAAACTCCACAATCTAAATGTGCGAAGCTCATACAGATATACCCAAGAAGACTCATTGCCGCTGAAGAACTGTGTACAAAGTATCGACTTGGGTGGGGGGGGGGGGCTACTTTTTGTAAATGAGAAATGTAAGTCTTTCATTCTGGATAAATGAATGTTCTTGAATAAAAATTTTGATTCATATGCGTTGAATTTATTGTTTTATTGAAGGGAGAAAAACTATTTCAATGTTTTAAAATTTAGAGGTGTAACAGGAACAAAATATGAACAAATTCAAGGGAGTGAATACTTTCTGAAGGCCCTGTATAGTGTACTTTCTAACAGAGGATTATTAAATGTATTACACCTTTAAAGAACTGCAACTAATGAATGTAAAGTAGGTACCCAAAGCATCAAATTCAGTGTTTAAAAGCAGAGAAGTTAAAGAGAAGTGATGGATTTTTTTGTCAACAGGACTGGATCAAAGAAGAGAGCCGCAGTTGTAAAATAAATTTCCCTTAGGGGTCAATAAAGCTTGAATTGAATTGAAAGGACTGTGTGTACTGTACAGTACCTTAGACTTTGGAAACTAAGTTTTGATCAAACTGTGAGATCTCTTGTTCACTTTATCTTTGCTCTATTACACTGTAATCTGGCTTTCTGTCTTTATGTGTTAACATTTACTTTGTTTTAAGCTTCTATGATCCTGCTTTCAGCCATAGGTTTGGCTAAGCAGTCTCAGTTTAAGTTCCTGTCAATGTATTCACAGTGAGATGGTGCTGTGGGTGTGAGCTTGGGGAGTTAATTATTGATTTTGGTGGTTTTCAATTTTACATTTACACTCAATTGTTTAAATCTTGTCCTGCCTTGTGTATTATTGGCTTGATTAAAGCTGAGCTAAATATTGAACCCCATGAATCACCATATTATATTAAACACATTGTAACACTTCTTGCTCCTGGACAGGCACAGTTCAGGTGAATTTCAGCTCCTGGTGTCCCATAATCTTCAATCCCTGTGCCTCGCAGCCCTGGGTTTAATTCTGGACCTGGGATGTATTTGTGTGTATTTGTGTAGTGGGTTTCCCCCAGGTGACTCAGTTGCTTTCCACAGTCCAAAGACATACAGTATTTGTAAGGTTAATTGGCTTTTAGAATAAAATTGCCCTGGCGTGAGTGTGTTCTTGTCTGTGCCTGTCTGTCCTGTGATGGACTAGTGTCTGTCCAGGGTGTACCCTGCCTTGTGCCCTTTGTGCGCCAGGATAGGCTGTGACTTCCCTGCAACCCTGAATTGGAAGAAGTGGATAGAAAATGGATAGATGGAAAGGCGAAGATGATTGTCTTGTTTGGATGTGAATAAAAGGCATATGACAAATACTGGTTAATATCAATCTTGTTGTAAAAGCTGAATTTTAAATATGTCAGGTACAGCTCTAGCCATTGAGACATGGCTTTCATCTAAGAAATTTACAGGGGATGTGAAGGAAAAAGAATAATGAAGATTATCCTGCTTTAATTGATACGCTATCCTACCAAATTTTTAAAAAATAATGTTAAAAAGTCACCATATTGTTCAAAATTGTAGGAATAGTCCAGTTTGTCTCATGATTTCCAAGGATTGTAAAACAGTTACTGGATAAGGCATTTTTTTATCAGGATACTTTTCTGTAGGCAAATTTGTTGTTGTACAGTATCTGATCGTGGTCCATAAATGAAGGAAATAGCAGATCTGTCTAATGTGTCAGTTCATACAGCTTCAAGGGTGTACAGGGAGAAGATGGAAGATAAAACAACAAAAAATAGAAGCCCTATAATCACAGCCTGTAAGACATTCTTGAACCATAGGGACAGGCTGCTGTTTTGTATCCTGTAAGATGTCCACCAAGAGGTCCTATATCTCCATGGACCTCTGCAAACATCTGAGTCCCTGCAATGTGATGCAGATGTAATCACCTCTGGAGGGGAACTGAGCTGCTGTTAGGAATATTATTACTGTGAGGTAGTATATTTTAATATTTATTTTCCAACACAGAAGACTGTGGTTGCTAGCCATCAATAGATAAAAAAAACACATCTCAAAGTAATCAAAAACCTCAACAGCTTGATAACCAGTTTGGTTTCTTCCTGGAGTAATAAAGAGTTCAAAGTCAAGTGCATGATTTTATCCTGAAAATTATTCGTCCCCCATAAAGCATTTAACAGAGTGTGATGTTTTCAGCTTGTTTTCCAGATCCATTGATTACACATGTGCCTGAGATTTTCACAAACACATTGTGGTTTTATATCTTTCACATTCCTTTGGTAGTGGTAGGCCTCATAACTGCGCTATAAAATCTTTAAGTTAAAAGCCATATTGTGGCTTTGGGCTTATATTCAAAGAGAGAGCTTAAGTCAGCCCTCCTGTTGCAAAATTATATAACCTTTAAAATGTTTACCTTACTCTGACTTGAGTGTAATAATTGCATTTTAGCACTTTAAGGTAAATTTGTACAATTGTGCATGTTGTGATTTCAAGCAGTACGTTACAAACCCTTCACATGAAAAAAATGTTTGCTGTACTTGTTTTCTTTTGTTTTCTAAATAAAAACAAAGAAATTGACAACACCGTCTTACCGATTTAAAATTTTTCATTTGTTGATGTAGCAAGAATCTGTAGCAAATAAAACAAAATCTGGTTTTGTGGGACAGGAGAAACAGCATTAGTCACACAACGTTCATACAGTATCATATATATATACACACACACATGTGTTTCCCAATAAGACAGGGATCTGATCTGTGAGACAGAATGGCATGTTATACTGAGATATGTGGACAATTTATAAAATGCAAACGTGTTAATTGTCTTGATTTTTATTGTTGACTTAGGTCTGAGCTCAGAAGAGCCTCTTTAGTATGTTGTAGTTTTTACCATTCAAAGCTAGATAAGCAAATGGATTCCTGTGATTCACTGTGTGAATGTGCTTCTCTGTTTGATGTTTCAGTGCACAGTGCAGCATGTGAGATGAGTGAAATCCTATGCGCTTTGATCAGCCAGGCAGCACGCAGGCTGTCAAGATGGATAACTGGACAGCAATGATTCATAATGAATTTGTCTGTGATAAAGATTATAAGGTTTTAATAAAATGGGACTTAATTTATCTTAAGCTCAACATATTTTTTCATTGTCATGTTTATTCCAAATAAAAAAATTGAGGCATGTGTTTCATTATATTAAAGCTTTTTTATTTCTACTATTCTAGAATTTCTATTGTAGTGTAAAATAAATCATCATGTTGTTATCTTTAAATCATTGAAACAAATGGTAAAACAGCATGAACTTCAGGACATTATTTTTATTTTAAAAAGGCCATTAATGAAATCACAGTTTTGTAAAAATATTAAGTATTGTAGCAAGACATTTTTAATAAAACTTGCTGAAACTAGTAACATTTTTCAACAGGGGATGGTCAGTTTCCCCAAAATTTTGCATTCTTGAATTTC